TGCTTGCCCTCCCGTGGGCCACCGGCTGTCTGCTCTGGCCGCTCATTGTGGCTGGTGAGCTCCATGTGTGAACCTGGAGGGGAGGAGCACAGGATGCCAGGGGGTATCGAGTTCGGGCATTCCCAGTTTTCCGAGCTCGCCTGGGTGATGGGCATGAGCAGATGCTGCTTGCCAGGGGCTCTACAAACCTCACTGTGATGCTGCGTCCCGTGCATTCTGCCTTCCTGCTTTGGTGGCCTGTCCTAGCTGCCGATCGCATTGTCACTGGGGAACCTGGAGGGGAGGAGCACAGGATGCCAGGGGGTATCGAGTTCGGGCATTCCCAGTTTTCCGAGCTCGCCTGGGTGATGGGCATGAGCAGATGCTGCTTGCCAGGGGCTCTACAAACCTCACTGTGATGCTGCGTCCCGTGCATTCTGCCTTCCTGCTTTGGTGGCCTGTCCTAGCTGCCGATCGCATTGTCACTGGGGTGGCGGGGGGCGCTACTGAGCAGAGAGCCGGGTGGCAGCAACCGTGACTGCTCCAGTGACACCCCCCCACACTCCTTCCCCTCCAGAAAACACGACCAACAACTCCACGGGCCAGTCCCGGGCGGTGATCGCCGCGGCCGCCCGGCGGCGCGACAACAGCCACAACGAGTACTACTACGAGGAGGCGGAGCACGAGCGCCGGGTGCGGAAGCGCCGGGCCAGGTAGGGAGTGGCAGGGGGCGCAGTGCCCCCTAGGGGTGGAGAAGGGGCAGGGCCGGGATGCGGTGACTAAAGGGGCTTCCGGACCCCACATACCCTGTGGTTCCCCCTGCAAGGCAGCTCCCAGCCTGGGCTGCTCGGGACGTCCCTGGCCTGGACGCTGCAGCCGCCAGGGGCTCTGCTCCCAGGAGAATGTGTCTGAGCCAACAGCAGCCTGGGAGCATGTCCCGCCCCCGGCGCAATTCACGGAGACCCGGCACAGGCCGATTGACCCGGGTTAATACAGTGGGGTCCGTGGTCTCTTACGTGGGCTAGAGCCCCACTGCATTGGCGCGGGCTGCGCACCCCTGGCCAGGGGACTCACCCTGATTGGCCCCAACAAGTCAGCCCCCCGCGAGGTGAGCACTGAGCCAGGACTCTGGGTCTGTCAGCCAGGCTCCGGCTCACAGAGCTGCGGGCGGGTGCAGGAGCCTCGGCGGGGGCTCTGGGCACAGCCGGCCGTGGTACCCTCGCTGCCTTTCTCCCCCAGGCTGGTGGTGGCAGTGGAGGAGGCCTTCACCCACATCAAGCGGCTGCAGGAGGAGGACCAGAAGAACCCGCGGGAGATCATGGACCCCCGGGAAGCGGCCCAGGCCATCTTCGCATCCATGGGCGCACCACCAAGCAGCAGCCCTACCACACCATGGAGAGCATCCTGCAGCACCTCGAGTTCTGCATCACCCACGACATGACCCCCAAGGTAGGCAGGGGGGTCAGCTGGGAGCTTGGGGATGGCAGGGAAGCCCCAGTGCCCCTGGGCCCGCCTGAACTCCCTCCCGCTCCCTCCAGGTTCCTTGGCCCCTCGACCATGGGCGCACCACCAAGCAGCAGCCCTACCACACCATGGAGAGCATCCTGCAGCACCTCGAGTTCTGCATCACCCACGACATGACCCCCAAGGTAGGCAGGGGGGTCAGCTGGGAGCTTGGGGATGGCAGGGAAGCCCCAGTGCCCCTGGGCCCGCCTGAACTCCCTCCCGCTCCCTCCAGGTTCCTTGGCCCCTCGACCCACCCTGGAGACTTTCCTGCCATGCTGGAGCTCGCCTGGGTTCCTGGCCTCACGTGGCTTTACG